TTTCCCCAGTTTTCAACGCCATACTCTAAGTATGGTAAAATCAATGAAGAATACAAAATGCGTAGTGCTTTCTCATCCAAAATATATCTAACCCTTGCCAATATCGATATATTTTTTGCTATTTTGTGCTGAACATATCTGATATGAGATTTCCAGGAGAATTTGTCATCAACTATGACACCTAGAAATTTAATTTCATATACTCGTTCTATATTAGCTCCCCCAATTTTCAATTGAAGTTCATTATCTAGTCTACGATTCCCAAATACCATACCTTTAGTTTTATCCAAATCTTGAAAAGGGACAATGACATTGGGCAAGAGGCAGGGTACACCCTGTACAGCTCACCTGTTTGTGACAGGGCTGACATATAGACAAACAACCACACACACACACAGGCAATTTACAGCCACCAATCAAGTTAATCCTCATGCCTTTGGACTGTGGGAGGAAGCCGGAGGACCTTGAGAGAACCCACACAGGCACAAGGAGAACTTACAAAGTCAGGACAGAAAGACCTCAGGTCAGCTGGGGCTCAAGACCGCAACCTTCTTGCTGTGAGGGAGCCATGCTAACCACTGCCCCACCATGCCTATATGATACTTGTTGATTCATTTTAATGGATGATAATTAATTATGTTTTAATAATTAAATATGCATTTTTCTTAAGTCCACAAGCAAAATATTTACTTTAATCTGAAATATTTCAGGTTTGTTGATCCTTCCCCTCACCAGCTCTTCCCTGGGGACCAGTGTGGGCCTTGCTCTCCCACCTGCCTCTCACATCCTCCCAATGGGGCTTCTCTGCAGAACAGAGAGTTGAAGCAGCCCAGACAGCCTCCTGATCTAGCAGATCACAACCCAGGTACTACGATGTTTATTATGGTGTATATTCTCAAGGTTTGTCTAAATACTCATTCCAGATTTTGTGCAGTTTTGTCAAATGGGAGATTGTTCTGAAAAAGGTTTACAGTGCAAGTTCATATTCAGTTTATATCTGAAGAGCCTATTAGAAAATGTGTGGGCAGTTTGACAAACTGTTTGAACAAATTTTCTCACATGCTCATTAATCACGCATTATATCTTTATGATGTGTAACAGGTGGCTAATGATTTTTCTAGTTAGAATCAAGCAGCTCCACTCGACGTACCTTAAAATAGATATTATATCTTTTCCCCCCGGACTTGACAGCTACGGTGATGTTGACAAGGTGTTCAGAAACACACTTCAGTTTTAACTGCTGAGTTAATTATGAGATTTGCAAAGACTGAAATGCAGTTTCTTTAGTTTATAGCATATAATGTGTGATTTATACTGGACTGTATAATTTAAGGAGAAAAGTTATTGACTTCATGTGAATTTGACTTTATAATAAGGATGAAAGATTTTCTCATTTACCCTGTAGAGCTCTCAGGGCAGATGAAGATGCTTTATTCTCCTCCACAATATGGCGAGATCACAGCTCATACCTGCTCAAGTCACCTGATGCAAGTTGATGCATTTGGTGACAGCCTCACACCCACAGTCAATAATCCCAATGGGGTGGCAACCACACAAACAGCTCTTCAATGCATTACAGGTAATGAAAATACAGTCTAAACAAAATTGCTCTAGGATGAGCACTTTATTCTCTTTGGATTTCACAACTCTCACAGTGCATACACTCAACCGTGTATTACTCTACGTGCGTGTGTGTGTGTGTGTGTGTGTGTGTGTGTGTGTGTGCAGGATTTGATGTCCACCGCCAAGCACAGGATGTGGCTCCTAATCAAAAATTACATGAAGGACATTTTTTCCCTGTTGTGGACCATTGCACAAGCCAGGTCTCCTCCATCTATACCGAGGGATGATATTATTCAGTTGTGGATTTTGATCATTTGCACTATTTTGTGTCCACATTCCTTTTACATCAAAAGGTCAATAAAAAGAACACTGTAGATAGTACTGCAACCTGATTGCAGCTGCAGATACACTCTCCTTGACTGAATCTCTGCAGATGTATCTAACTAAACACTGGCTTCTTTCTTCTTAATCAATGTATAGTAATGACTGAGCCTATTTTAATGTTTACTTAGTTTTTATACAGCTTGTGTATAACATGTAGTAAGTACTTCAACTGGTAACATTTTGCACAATATTTAACACTGCAATCAAAGCAAAAATATACACGGATCATTTATTAAGGTTTTTCTTAGAACCAAGGGTTTGTAACTATAGTAACAAGACAGCCTTACAATTTCACTGTAATGTTCATAGACATAACTTGCTGTTTGAATATAATGATAATGCTATGAGTGCTCCTGTGCCTAGATACCAGGCACGTTTGTGTTTGTGACTATACCAGTAATGTTGCATGCTTTACTGCAAATAACCTATACTTCACATTGTAGTTTAAAAAGTCACAGCACCATACATTTTAACCCTCTTTTCCTGCAGCCATTTATTTCAGGTATTTCAGGAAAATGATCTCGTGGAGACGCCAGCACTGGGTTCAGTATGGATGCTTGTATTTTTGCCTTTTCTAAATGTATGTCATTTTTCTGCAGGGCAGACATTTCCGTCCAATTTGCACTTGCAGCTGTATTTTCATGCCACTACCATAACACAACTATAAGTAATAAAGCAGACATGATATTTACAATGAATCCAGCACAAATGTTTCTGCAAATGTTCAATTTTATAGTGTAGTGAAACAACCATGAGGATAAAAATCATTTGTACCCTTGTTTGTCTTTTGTCATATCTTGTGTCTCTTAGTAAGATGAAGGTAAACCAAACTAACTCTCTTGAGGATCAGTTCATTTTGTCTAATTGAATTAAAATTTTCAACCATGCATTTGATAAAGAAGTCTCTTGCCTTTACGCATTGAAAGAGCCCTGGCACTCCATAGCAATCAATTTCATAAACTCCACAGCTCTCAAGAACAAACCAACAAACAGTGGATAATGAATTTCTCAAAATGCTTTACCTGGTACTTTAAAAAGCAGCAATTCAGCACACCACAGTATAGAGCACTTTTTTTTAGGCAAAAATAAACTCATTTAATTGTTCAAGTCGGTATCTCTCTATAGAGTCAGTACCTCTATCTCTGTTTGCATTAAACAACACATGCAAAGTCACTACTTTATGATAGCAATATAAATAGCTTAACACAATGAAATTCTGGAGGCAATCAACTAACCTAAACTAAAAAAAAATAATTGGCAACCTCTGCTGTGTACTTGAACAGTATGAAAATATTGTACAGGTCCAGCAGGCACCTGTCTTCACAGCAGTGTATTTTTGTTGTTTGAAACTGAAAGGACAAACTGTTTTACTTGAAAATAATTTTTCTTTTTAGCAAAAGAGTGTCATGCTTCAGATGGGGGTTTCAGTAGTTGCTTAGCAACAACAACAGCTTTTCCAAAAAGCATCTGTTTAGTACTGCTAACCAAAAAAAGTGCTGCGCAGTGGACACAGGTGGTTGGTTAAGCTTTGTATCAAGTAGGAAGCCGCTTAACAATGCTGGCTTTGTTTGGTCACTATAGCAAATTTAAACATTATACATGTTAAACGCTGCTTGTGCTACAGTATGTGGCAAAACATTTTAACTTATAGTGCACAATTACCATGCTTTATAGTAGTTTTATGGAAACCTACTGTATACAATACTATAAAGGCAAAGTCCTGGTTGAGGGACAAAAAAGGCTTTTTCCAAAGCCCTGGGATTGGTAAAATGGTCAAGTAACAAAATCCTGCATTGTTCAAGGCAAAAAAAGCAACTTGATGGTCAATAAATACACAGAAGAGCAACTAAGAATGGTGTTTACCCTTATCCTTAGCCATCTGGTGTGGTGAATATGATGAATATGGTGCAACACGGGCACTGCCTGTGTACATTTGTAGCTACAAAATCATAGACACTGTAAGGCATAGCAGGCTAATGAAATCCAGCATTCATTTAAAGTAATATCCCAACCGTTTGGCCCCATTTGTCTCAGTTGCCTTTATTCTATCCTTCAAAGTTAAATGGAAAAACAGAAAAGTCTGGTTCTTATTTGGGCAAAGTGTTATGTGATCCACTCAGATCTCAAATCTGAGAAACATGAAATGAAATTATTTATTAGTTATTTTGGAGAAGCAACCTACATGTCTGAATGTTGGATTATAGCACATTTCTATAGTTAAAACTGTTTACTACTCAGGAAGTTGTTTGATTGTAAAATCACTAGTGCTTTTTATTTAATTACTCCTGATTTTGAAAAATTCAAAAGTGAATGACCACAGAAACGTGTAAACATCTCAATTGTTCATTACACTGCAAACAGACAAATGAAGAGGCAACGCACAGATGTTACTGAGGCTGAGATAAAGACCAAAATGAGATAACACAGTAACTTCATGGGTGGATTTTGACCTTGGCTGATTTTATGGCAAGCCTGTAACATCTAGAGTGCAAATAACAGACATATTAAACTATATATAAACCAAACCCTTTCTGATCTAAGTATAAATAGCAAAATATCACTATGAAAGGAACTATTGCAGTATGAAAAAAATGTGTATATCTAGGGTCATGGTTAGGGTTTAAAAATTATAAACATCACCTAAGGGAAAACAAAGGCCCCCAGCATACTGAGGATTACTTTCTGACTTGTATTGTTCCGAGAATATGGGGCGTCGTCGTTACACCTTAGGGGACCACTGAAGCAAATATTAGATTTTATTTCAACGTCCTTAAACACGTTAGTTTATACCTGATATATGTATAGAAAGTCTCCACTCATATATGTATGTGGTAGTTAATTTTGTTTCCATTAACACTGTATTAGGTGCGCCTTATCTCCTCCCACCTGCTTGGTAGGGTTGCGCGCTCCCGATGAGTTTTATAGCAACTGTTGCCCAGTGAGGCAGCGCCATAGTCACCGTAGTCCTGGCGACTGTAACCCACCAACAACAACCTCTCGCTCCATCATTACCACCTCCTCCACCATCCTCATCTTCATCAACCAGTCCACAGCTCAGGTTTGAACACATTCTTTACTGTTTTTAGCCACAATTCAAGTCCCTTCACGCTTCAGTGGATCATTTCGTTAAGGAAATATTAATGCTCTGGTTTATGTTTTGTCTGTTGCTGAAAGAGAGCTCGGTGAATAGCCGGGGTAGTTTGCTAGCGAGGGTGTTTCTTTGTAAGTGTTAGCTTGCTTGCTAACGTTGCCTGTAGATGCCTACAGCTGTGAGAAGTCCATCTCGCTAACAGAAGCTAGCTATGTCCTCTTCCATGGGGCTGTGTTTGGCCAGGACTTACTCCGATGTAATCAGTTTGGCAGATAACGTGTTTCCGTGTAACTTACTTGTTTAAACTTGTCACGCTGAGTGATAGCATAGGTCTGGGCTATTCACTGATGCTAGCTGGTCAGCTGGAGCAGGAGCAGGTGTCTGTTGTTGCTAGGTTGCTAACGCCAGCGTTCCCTTCTTTCAATTGCTGTTGGTATCCCATGTTTTTTGGCTGATGTTACGGTGAAATTGCAAGTTTGTGATTCGGGTGGTCCAAATCCTCTTGGTCATACAAAATAAATTACGTCGATTAGGAAAGGAGAGTGCTATGAGCTAGCTTTCCATACAGTACCTGCTATTCGCAGTAGCTAAGCCATTACTTTCCCTTTTGTCTTAGGGAGCAAGATAGCTTCGCTAGCTTTCCTGCTGCCCTCTTTGTGGCATCAGATGGCCACGATAAGCTATCTGATAACACAACGCGAAGTTTTGCAGTGGTTCGCTTTGAGGAAAAAACACCTGCCTGCTTAATATTAAAATAAAACTATAACGTTACTGCCCATTTTATCCCGCAACACTCCGTTTTCTCGTGCGCAGCACATTCTGTAACTGGGCATGTAAACGTCAGGGTTTTGCCAGGTTTAATGACTAACAGTTAAAAGATTTCATTTTGTATCTTTGTTATGAATGCGTGTTTCCCTGGTTGCGCAAGAAAGGGAAGGAGAAGGTCTGCATTCAATCCAGCATGACATTGTACAGTGGGAAGATGCTTAGTTGTTAGTTAGCAGATTAATGCTGTGCTAGACTGATTTTAAGATCACTTAAATTGGGTATAAACATTCAGCACTTTTATTCCATTCATATATCCTTTTCTGCACTGTTGCATTGTAAACTCACATTTTAGGATTCTTTAATCCTTTGGGTGGTTCATATAAGTAGAGACTTGTTTTCTTAATGTTGCATCACAATTATTCTTGGGTCCATTGGGTCTCCTGTGCAGCTGTGACCTCAGATTCCCATTTGGGGAGAGAACAGGTGTGCGTGTGTGTGTGTGTGTGTGTGTGTGTGTGTGTGTGTGTGTGTGTGTGTGTGTGTGTATTTGGAGAAGTGAGTGGAGGACAGGTGCACCTCGAGTAGTGGTGGGACTCCTTAATATCTAAGACTGTCTGTGTCTGTCCACCACAGAAAACTTATTCAGGGGTAAATAACTTTCAGTGGTTACCGTTCTCAGGATTTGGTTCTGGTTTAAAATGTATCTTAGTTGGGAATCATGTTCATGATTCCGGGGGCAGCTGTGGCTCAGGAGGTAGCGCGGGTCGTTTCCTAACTGGAGGATTAGCAGTTCGATTCCCGGCTTGTCCAGTCAACATGTCGAGGTGTCCTTGAGCAAGACACTGAACCCCCAGTTGCTCCGGGTGATGTCACCGGTGTGCGAATGGGTGAATGGCCAAATAATGTGAAAGCGCTTTGAGTGTGCTGTAAAAACATAGAAAGGCGCTATACAAGTATAAGACCATTTACCATTTATGACTGTTGTATGAGAAATACCTGTCATTAATGCCCAAATGGGCCTGACGGTGCCAGAGCAGTTCATACAAATTAGGTCAAAAGTTAAATATATTGATCTTTGGTCCAAAATAGGCCATGCTCTGACATCCCTGCCAGACCATGCACACACAAACAGGATGTTGGGATCTACTAGTTATCAGATCATGTTACCACTTACCTGTAGTCCTGTAGGGCAGAAATAGTACCATGCCACCTGCTGCCTGGATCCTGTTGCATTTCCAATCACTTAAAGAGGGGCTGATTAATTCAATTATTCAGTCATCCATTTTCATGGCTTAGCAGAATACAGGATGTTTGGTTTGTTTTTTTGTCCCAGCCTCCCAGAAATAATGTATATTGTTGATAAAACAAGGGACTTGAAGGTGTTTGTTTTTTCCTCCAAAAACCCACATCTGGCAGTTATGATGAACAGTATACATTTAGACTCGCTTTGGTGTCATGGTGCGTCAGGAAATTTGGCACATATGACGTTTCTGTTTCTAGTGATCCTTTTATGACATAAAATCAAATTAAATGTTAGGCTTTGTGTGGCACCACTAACAGTGTTTCATATTGTATATTGACATCAAAATCAACGTCTGCAGTCGTTAAAAGTGTAAGTCATCCAAATTATTTTATAATCTGAAAACCCAACTCCTAAATAAACACAGTACTTTGTACACCTCCCCCAGTTCAGCTCCCAGTTACATTTGCCTCAATCTGTTTTCCTGCTGTACTAGCACCTGATCATGCTCCAATCTTGTCTTTGGGTGTATGTCCTGTATCTGTGTGAAAGGATATAGATTTTGTGCATGGTGTACTTTTCAGCCTTGTTCCCCAGCTCTTATGTCTTTTCCTGGTGAACCTTTGTCACACAGGGTCATTAGAGCGGGCAGATAATGGTTCT